AGTTTTGACTTAGATGTGGCCTCTCTTCTTTGTTTTATCTTTTGTGCAGGTACTGTCATTCCAATGCTCGAAAATGTTATGAATGTTGTCCCACTCGACAAGCTTGCGGTCCATTTTCATGACACTTACGGGCAAGCTCTTGCTAATATTTTGACATCGCTCCAAGTAAGCAATCCTCGTTTTACTTCTCTTCGGATTAAGCAGTGGACATGAAGGATTTGTATGTTTTAAGTAGACTGAACCTACAACGCCTTCTTTGCATGTCGGGTTTCCACAGCGCATTGGTGAAACGAATATCCTTGCGTTAATTAATGGAAGCTTAATTCTCTTTTAGCAGCTTTCACTGATGCATCAAAACAAATTTTCTTTCGTAAATTGATGAAACTGTTCTGTTATGCTGTTACTGATTGTTCTGTGGCAGCCAACGTTTGTTTCTGGTTTTAAATATGAGCAAAGTATCCTAGCAAGTGCATCTTGATAGTTTCTCTTTTACTTAATTTATTTTCCTGTTTCTAGGCCGAAATTTATCGAGAAACATGTTATTCCTAGTTGTACCAGTTCAACATCATTGAACGATAACACATTTTAGACCGCTCCATCGTGTAACCTGAAACGAAAAATCTGCATATACACCAGAGATGTTCACAAGCATTTTGAGTTTTGCTTAGTAATTCTTATTTTCTTTACAGATGGGGATCAGCACTGTGGATTCATCAGTTTCCGGCCTTGGAGGTTGTCCATATGCTAAGGGTGCGTCGGGCAATGTTGCCACCGAGGATGTTGTTTACATGCTCAATGGACTCGGAATACAAACAAACGTCGATCTCGAAAGCTCATGTTGGCTGGGGATTTTATATGCAAGCATTTGAAGCGGCCATCGAGTTCGAAGACTGCTGTTGCATCGAGTAGTAAGAAGGCTAACTCCAAGCTTTAAGGTAGATTGTATTTACTCTGTTTTCAGTGTAAATATTTACAATATAAAGCAAAGCATAGATTTTAGTCCCAAGTAATAAGAAATTTCGATGTAGCAAAGTCTCGGGTTCGAATATCAGGACAAAAACAATATCGAAAGAAATTTGTTTCTCGTTTAGGATTCATTCTAACTTGATTTCAAGACTCATGTTACTATCGAGGTCGGGTGGTTTATGACCAACAAATCTTTTAGTTTTATTAGTCAATGATATCCTTACAATAAAAGAATCCAAGCATGTGTTAAGTGATAATTTTGTTAAACAAAAGTCAATTCGTATGATTAGTACTCCGTACGATTAATTATACATTGAACATTTTTCATATGATTATTGTACGTGTCATTTTTTATTTACGTTGATGTATTATACGTATTTGTTTACAAAATTCTTACGGATATGTATATAATTGTTTTGTTTTATTAACAAATACGAAAGTAATTTACTCGGATCACAACAGATAAAATTGATCTGTACAAATTAAGTCATGTTTATTGAATCGAGTAGTTTAGGGGTTAATTTAAAATGAGATTATAGTTTGGGGACAATATGTGTAATTAGATATTGTTTTGAGTCTTTCAACTATTAGAATTTACAAATTGTCCCTAAACTACAAGAAATTATTTTATTAAGTTTCTTGACAATTAAAAATTATAAAATATCACTCGATTATTTATTATGTTCTAAACTCATCATTTTATGTTAAAAAATTAACGACAATCTAAGTTGAATGTTAACATGTTGATTGAGATATAATAAAATCTAATATCATAATCTCAAAGGACTATCATATCTCATATAACATATTAACGTCTAACTCATACTACCTTTAATTTTTTAACAAAAAAATATGCGTTTTGAACATAATGAACAATTAAATGACTATTTTGTAATTTTTAATAATTAAAAAGATTTAATAAAATAATATCTTTATAGTCTAGACACTAATTACGTACTTTACGCAATTATCTCCAAATATTTATTGTAAATAGACTGAATTAAACAATTGCAAGAATGACTGTTCTGTCACTTTATCGGCATGTGCTTTTTTCCATCTTATCTCTAAGTTTTGCAAGCCACGCGTGAAGTCACCATGTGTCGAGTTCAACCTACGGGATGTCACCAGCTGTTCCATCACCGCCGTGTGAGTGTTACACATTCTACCATGAGGGGGGAAAACAACGGAATACGACTCTTTGACTTTGGATACAATGGTACCTAACTCGACACGTACCAAATTAACTCAGCGCCGAGTCACAACTCATTCAATCCTAACAACCAAAAATTTATCACTTTCCTCCTTCAAAAACGATAAATATCACTTTCACAATTTATTTATTATTCCACCAATCATATAATTGGAGCACATGCCACCCCATCTTTATAATCATAAAAATAATATAATATCACGAGTTAACTCGATATAGTTAGAATAGATATAATTATTCGAATCAAAATCATCTAAAAAATAATATTTTCCTTTATCATTAGGTCACTCAATGAATTAGATTGTATATATAACTATGTTATTTTATGTTAGCACATACTAAGAATTTAAATAATGGTTCGCTACTATAATAGTAGACATTATATAATGATAATGATATCGTATGATATTATTATTGTATGATCACGAGACATATAATCACCGTAATAACGTCTGTATATACAAACGTGACAAATACAATATAATCGGAAGCACGACCGTAATCAAAATTTAGATCCTCGAAGCATGCAATAATAATTATATGTCATTAAGAATAATTATATGTAATATATAACTTTGGTGTTATTACAATAATAATATTAATTAAACTAATATTGAATTAATAAAATAATTAATAAATTCAAATAAAAACTATATGGTATAATAACATACCATATTTGCCTTGGTATATAATATTATATTTATTATTGAAATAATATTAGATTTATTATTGATATTGTTAATATATTAAATAATTAATGTTTTTTATTATAAAGGTTTTTTTAAATGTATAAGTACGATCATATTTATTAACAACTATTGGAACATATCCAAACTTTTAATCTGGCTCACACAGCTCAAAGAAGGATTGATGAAGATAGTAGGGTTCACTCTGAACTTGTGGATTTGGAAATTGTTAAAGCTGACTTTTATAAACAGAAAGCTAAAGCACACTGGCTTAGAGAGGGGAATTTGAATACAATTTTTTTTTATCAGAAGGTTCAGGCTAACAAAAAAAGAAACACTATCAGAGTTATAAAAAGTGAGGATGGACAGTTGTTTGATTCTTTTAAAGATATGGTTGCTGAGTTAGTGGATTTTTTTACTAACCTCATTGGCTCTCCTGACCCCTCAATTAAAGGCTGCTCTGCTAAAAGTCTGAAGAGCTTGATTAATGTTTGTTTGCCTGAAGGTGCAGATATATGTCTTACTAAGGAGGTGAGTGATGTGGAGATCAAAGAGGCTCTCTTCAGACAAGGGAATGATAAGAGCCCAGGTCCTGATGGCTACACTGCTGGCTTTTTAAAAGCTGCCTGGAGCATTGTTGGATGTGATTTTACTTCTGCTGTGAGGTATTTCTTCCATACTTCCTGCTTACTGCCTGTCTTCAATTCCACAGCCCTAGTTTTGGTCCCTAAATCCCCAAATACTACCTTAGCTAAGGAATTTAGACTTATTTCTTGCTGCTCAGTTGTATATAAAACTATCACCAGAATTCTTGTTGATAGACTTACTCCTTATTTTCCTGGCCTGATTTCATGCAATCAATAAGCTTTTGTCAAGGGTAGAAACATAGTTGACAATACCCTGTTAGCTTAGGAAATAGTGAAGGGTTATTCTAGGAAGAATCTTTCTCTTAGATGTACTATAAAAATTGACTTGCAAAAGGCTTTTGATTATGTTAACTGGAATTTCTTGCTGTCTGTTCTTGAGGCAATGAGGTTGCCTGATGTGTTTTGTAATTGGATCAAGGCTTGTATTACCACCCCTATGTATTCTGTTTGCTTGAATGGTAGTTTAGTGGGGTATTTTAAAGGGGCTAGGGGGATTAGATAAGGGGATCCTCTATCCCCTTATCTTTTTGTTATTGTAATGAATATCCTATCCTCCCTGTTGAATGTTGCTGCCAAGAGAGGAATTTTTAAATTCCATCCTAAGTGTAAGAGAGTCTCTCTCACTAACCTTTGCTTCGCGGATGATCTGTTAGTCTTTTTCCATGGTTCCCTTGAGTCTGTGTTGGAAGTGCAGAGCACTTTAGAGGTTTTCTATGAATTGTCAGGATTAAAGCTAAATGCATTGAAGACAGAATTTTTGCTTGTGGCTTAAACATAAACACCCTTGATCTGATCCAACAAGCTACTAGATTTAAGATTGCGCAGCTCCCTGTCAGGTATCTTGGAGTACCCCTTGTTACTCGTAAACTCTCAGGGAATGACTGCTCTTCTATCTTGGAACGTATTAAAGGTAAACTAGCTCACTGGTCTAGCAAAAAGCTCAGCTTTGGGGGCAGGCTGTAGTTGGTGAAAACTGTCATGTTCAGTATTTTTAATTTCTGGAGCAGGTAGCTTGTTCTCCCCAAGGGGATCATAAATGATGTCGAGAGACTCTACATGCGGTTTTTCTAGAAAGGTTGTGATGCCCCTGCCAGAGGTGCTCGTGTAAGTTGGAGCCAGGTCTGCTCACCTAGGTCTGAGGGGGGTCTGGGTCTAAGAAGTCTTGTTCTTTGGAGTAAGGCTTGCTGCCTATTTCTCATTAAGAAAATTCTTGCTAATGATGGCTCACTCTGGATTGCATGGTTACATGCATATTGTCTTAAAGCTATAAGCTTATGGGAAGTTGAGTATAAAGTCTATTTCAGCTGGATTTTGAAAAAGCTGCTGAAGCTTCGAGAGGAGGCTAGGAATTTGTTTGTTCCTTATGCTAATTGGAACCTGATCAAGGGTAAATGGCTTTGGGACCAGATTAGAGTCCGTGCAGAGAAAGTTAGCTGGAACAGGATCATTTGGTTTCCTGCTCATATTCCGAAATTCTCCCTTATTGCTTGAATGGCCACCCTTGATAGACTGCCTACGAGGGATAGGCTGATTCGATTCGGTTTGGTCTTGGATAATGGATGTGTCCTGTGTGGGTCTGGGATCGAGTCCCGTGACCATCTCTTTGCTGATTGCTCCTTTGCTCAAGACGTTTGGAATGCTGTGCAGGTCTCGTGTGGGATTTGTCCTGCTTCGCTTAAATGGAATGATCACCTTCAATGGCTGATTGTTAACTTGAAGGGTAAATCTCTCAGGGTAAGGATTCTAAAGCTCGGCTGGACTGGTTTTTTGTACCACATTTGGGAGAAACGTAACCACGTAAGCTTCAGGGGTGTTTCTCGTTTTGTTGATATGATTGTAAGTAGTATTAAAGATGATGTTAAAACCAAATTGTATAGTTATAGTATGCAGGGGATTGATGATGTAAGTAGGCAAGTAGGTATAAATTGGGGGTTAATGTAGTGTTGGATTTTGCCTTGTCATTGTAGAAGCTTTGCTGCATTTTTTTGGATGAATATAATTTACTTATTAAAAAAAATATTCAAATTCATAACTTTATTTAAAAAATCTAATATGTTATTAACATAATTACACACGCAACAAGATTTAAATTAAGAACAAATCTAAATAGAATCCATATACAACTCTTACACAATAAAATCTAAATATTAACATCAAAAGTCTGAAAATCTTAATTTTACCGTTTTCATTATCTGAATTTTTTCTTATCTATAAATCAAAAGATATTGAGTGTTTAAATATATTTAATCAACTTTTTTTATTATATTATTAATCACAACATTAATCGAATTAAAATCATTTAATCTTAATATTTTAATTAATATATCATTAATTAATTAAATCCGATCTAATCTATGAACACCTATTTCATTACTAATCTCCTTTCTACGAAGAGACATATTTCTTTATTCAATTTGTGACCGATTAGGTCAAACATTACCCAAAACCCAAAAATATAAATAAATAAATAAATAAATAAATAAATAAATAAATATAATAATCCCACCAAAAAAATCAGAGAATTCCCCTCAATTCATATCCAAACTCCCAAATTGAGGGTAATTTTTCTGATTTCTTTCCATTTCTTTCATATGATATAATAAAATAAAAATTTGTGATTTTTGAGGGATTTCCATGGATACGGGTCGAAAAATGGATTGACCCATACGGGTATATCAACAACATCCAGAGAAGATTTATATAGATTTTGGTGTGATCCGTTGAAAGAGGCTGACAGCTATTGGATACAAGAAAGATTTCCTTTTCCTCTCCATCAAATTTCTTATTTTTTTTTTGCTGCAGTTTTTTGTTTTCAGTTCTGTTTTTTCTGGTAAGCTTTCGGGTGTGTTTTTTCTTCTCTTTTTAGTTCATCTCATTTGGGGTTATAGGTGCTTTTTGATTTCTGTTTGGTTTTTTTAAAATTAGTTGCTAGATTTTCTTTATGGTTCTGGGAAATGATCATCATCCCAGTTGTTTAGTTATCGTTTGTTAGTTGGTGACTTTTTTTTTGTAGTATAGTTTATTTTTATGAGGAAAATTGAAGGGATTTTCCGAGAAAGTTATTTTCTTTCTGTCTATTGCCGGAATCTGCGTAAAACACAAAAACCCAGATTTGTTTCCGTTCCGATCATCCCTTTTCTTCGTGGGCTTACTGAAAAGCTTTGGTTTCGAGGGCTTGATTTGATCCTACATGGAGAAGAATTGAATACAACTGGAATTCGATTCTTTTGATCTGGAATTGACCCTTTTTTTCGTTTTCAATTTCGATTTCTTGGAAAAGAAAGAAGAAAAGGGGGGGGGTGAAATGGCGATGAAAGGTTGGCCATTAGAGCAATGGAGGGTTATTTTCGTCAAGCAAACTCAGATTTATTCGATATAATCGATCATGCTATAATGGTAGCCGCTTTAGATTGTCCTAAAGAGTTTAGATTATGTAGAGATCGAATTGCTGAGAAGCTTTTCACTTGCAAAATCACTCGGTGTTCGGGTTGCGATCGGGTTGAGTTGATTGTAACCCCAGTATGAGGACCGTAGACGATAACACTCGAGCCGGCGGCTGCCATACGAGCTTCAAAAGGAAGCTGATGAAGAATTTGGGCAGGTGGTAGCAAAGAGAGCAAAGCTACTAGTAGCAGAGATGACCCTTTGATGAACCAAATTGCTAGTAATTATAGCTATGAGAAGCTGAAGCTTTGACCAATGAAATCGAAGAAGATCGATGATTGTCGGTGAAGTGTTTAGGATCATAGAGATTCTTCACAATTGTCAAGACGAGGTTCGTGTGTTGGAGGGTTTTGAACATATAGTTTTATGGTATCTGTGTAAATGATAATTTTTACTGATAGTTTTCTTGTGTTATAATGTTTAATGCAGCCGGATTCCGTATTGTATGAATCTTTGAGGAAGCTACAATTAATGGATTTGACAGTGGATATTCTTGAGGTCCTTTGATCGAAACCTTTATCCTTGTTTTAAGTTGGTTTTCGTCATTGTAATTCTTGGACTAAAACATGGTACTTTGTTTCAATTTTCAGGCAACTGGGATCAGAAAAGCAGTTAATCGGGTCAGAAAGCATTCATCGAAGCAGATTCGTAATCTTGCGCAAACTCTCATCGAGTAAGAGTTTGTTTCCTTTGCTGCAATGAAGTTGAATTCTTGATTATGTTATGTGATAAACATGATAAGTAACCCATGTATTTAATAGATTAGTTGTTAAACTGTTAGCTCCGAGTAAATGACGTATTGACTTTTGCTCACTCCGTCTTTTCTGTTAGTATTAATTTTCGTTTTTGCTCACAGATGTATTTAATGTGTTCGGCCTTATAATTGACGATCATATTAGTTTAAAAGTGTTAAACTGTTGGTTCCGAGTAAATGGCCTATTGACTTTTGCTCACTCCGTCTTTTCCGTTAGTATTAATTGTTGTTGCGGGGAACTTTACTGGTTGAACAACCTACCTTAGTTGTTTTTACTTGTTATCGTTTTTTTGCGGTGGTACATTTCTATTATCTGTATTGTCTAGTAACATGTGATGCAAGTTTTTCACCCAGTTTTGTGGTTTGCAGTGGATGGAAGGAATTGGTGGAGGAGTGGGTTAGTGCTACAAATGCTGTTGCTGGTAAGAAATGTTTACCGGTATTTGGCAATTCACGGAAACGACATTGCTTCATTTTGATTTTCATTTATTCGTGAATTTGTGAGTGAAGGGTTTACTCCAGAATCTATGAATCCATCTGTTGCTGATGAGGATGATGTACAGAGGAGGAAGAAGGGCTTCCATCCTCCTTTAGATATAGGAGCTCTCTTCGCTACTCAACCTACGTCAATGGAGCTCTCGCAGGTCTTACTGTTTAAATTTATGTATTTGTTCGTTTTAACATTCATTGTTGAAGAACATATCGCCGTTATGCTTGTGAACTGATTGGAATTATTTTCTCTCCTTTGTCACCGGTGATGTTATGTGAAGTTTTCGATGGCATGGATGATGATGGAAGTGAGTTGATTTTTTTTTTCTCTTAATGCTTCTCTTCGATAGCTTTCGAGCCTTTTGGTTCTCTATTTGAATTCCACATATTGATCGATTATGATCGGGGGAATGTTGTTTCAGATCCTGGCAGTAGTGGGGATTTCATCAAGAACAGGAATAACGGAAGAAAACCATCAGAGGACAACCGGAATTCTTTGAAACAAACAGCAGACATCGAGTGAAGCAAATCTGCTCCCCAAGGATGATACGAGACAACAAATGAAGAGACAAGAACCTGTTGCAAAGCCTAATAACAAGCCGTCGAGAACGAATGTCGTGTCCGGGAGACCTCCAAAACATAATATTGAGCAAAAGGCCTACAATGAACCTAAGTCGGAGCAGAAACCGAATAAGATGGTTGTCCCCAAGAGGCCCCTCTGCGACCAAGAAGATGTAAGTGAAACAATCACTTTGTTCCTCGATCTTGCACCTTCACTTTTTTTTTCTCATAACTGCTCTTCTTTAATCAAAACTCGAGACTTTGGATGAAGAACAAAAGCTCGAGGCAACAAAAAAGAAGCTACAAGAGCATATAAACAAGTCGAGAATGGTTTGTCTCTTCCCCTCTAAATTCCGTATTAATCCTCCATATTCGACTCAAAACCGTAGAGAACTAAACATTTTACGTGTTAACAGCCAAGAGGAAGCGGACGATACAAATGATGGAGTTGCATGATCCCAAAGCAGGGTCTGGCCACAAAAATCCGTATTTGAACATGGTAACCATAACCGACAATGGGCGAACGGAAGGAGATAGTGTCTCCCTCCGTATCACTCTCTCCTGTGTTTCGAAAAGCGTTGTCGATAGCCTTCCTAGTTTCTTCCATTGTTGCAAATCGGGTATGAGGAGTACACCAATAAATGGGAACCACTGAGACCTTAATCCCCATTTCAGCAATCAAATAATGAGAATTCTTTTCTGTGATTGATGTTGATGATCAAGTTAACAAAAGTAACAAAGAGGGACATTCCGAAGACCGGAAACAAGCTTTCTTTCGATCAATTGTCGTAGATTTTGAAAGTTTTGAGGTATAGGGACTTTTGTTTTACTTTTTTTTACTGCAATGCTTAGATAGTAAATACAGAAATGATGGGTAAAATCACTCATTTGAAGACTGTTAAGTTGTTGAATATGTGTACAGAACAAGAACCCTAATTTTTATTCCGACTTCAACATACTCTTCTCCCCCATAACCCTACTTGATTTCACATGTAATAAGTGTTTTTCTTTGGGTGAAATGAAATGATGATACTGACATTAGATCTAGGATTTAAATTTGGACAACTCTTTTTGGACATGAATTTTCGGATGAGATGATACTCGACGGATCACTCTTCCGTCGAGTATTAAAGTTCGATTCTCATCGATAATCTCGATTTTTATACAATAATAAGAATCTAATATATGTTTGTTTCTAGATAATGCTAAGAGATCATCATGAAGATGCCAAAGCTTGTCGTGTCTTGAACACTTAAATCTTTGATATATGAACCAGTGGGATGTCTCTGTCTATTGACTTTATTTTATTCTTATCTATGAAATATTCCCAATAATAATAAAGGAATTTTCGTTGTAATAGAATATTTCCCATTAGGGTTTGCAAATTTATTTTTTTTAAAGCTATTTATTTAAGTGAATTTAGGTTGTAACTAGTTTGATACCTCTAAAACAATCTAAAAGTGAGTGTAAATCAATGGTCGTAGATTTTGAAAGTTTTGAGGTATAGGGACTTTTGTTTTTACTTTTTTTTACTGCAATGCTTAGATAGTAAATACAGAAATGATGGGTAAAATCACTCATTTGAAGACTGTTAAGTTGTTGAATATGTGTACAGAACAACCCTAATTTTTATTCCGACTTCAACATACTCTTCTCCCCCATAACCCTACTTGATTTCACATGTAATAAGTGT